AAAAAGGTTTGTGCGTTTACGCATGAGTTATTACAATAGTAAAAAATCCAATAACATAATAAAATGCAATAAAACAACATTAAGTATACATATAAACTTTGGTAAAAAAAAGAATCTGAGGTAGCTATTTAAAACTAAACAAAAAGTTCATACTATTTTAATTCTACTTTTTAACTTTTTCTAATCGTAAAATATTAATAATATCATTCTTAATAAACTTAAAAAAAATTTAAGTCTCTCCCTTTGCATAACAAACAAAAAAAAAACTTAATTCTTGAAAAAAGTTTGTTAAACTACACGCGTAAATATTTTTGAAAGACAAATAGAACATACTTGTTTCCGTACTTAAAACTAAATTGTTATTGTTTTTGTAATAAAAATTAATTCAAATTGTTATTTTTCTGTACTTAAAATTACAATAAATTATTTTTTTCCTGAATCTATATTATATATATAACAGTGGTAGAGCCACGCGGCAGCTTTGCTGTTGCACGTATGGGCCGGCTCAAACCGGGGTGGTACCACGACCTCACAGAATACCGGCGTGAAGTGGAAGCTCTCCTTCCGCGTTTCGTCTGGTGAGTGCAGGTGGCCGGAGGCCCAAATCCCCCCCCCCCATCAACATGGTAGCGGAATTAAATAATGATAGACTACCCCAGGAGGGTACCAGCACCCCTGGAGAATCCCCCGCTGAGCATTCACGACCATGTTTCTCCACTTCTGAGCGTGAGTGCTCAGGCTGCCCCGCGTATTCTGGGGGTGGGGCAAAATTCCGAGCAACAAGACACAACTGGCAACGAGCAACAAGACCACGCTGTTCGTGAATTATTGCAATATCAGGGGACTTCACTCTAACCTAAACGCCGTCCACTACCATCTTGAGACGGCGAGGCCGGCTCTGCTCTTTCTGACCGAGACGCAGGTGTCCTCTCCGGCTGATGTCTCCTATTTCTCCTACCCGGGGTACAAACTGGAACACTCCTTTGTGCCTCGGGCTGGAGTTTGCGTTTACGTCAGAGAGGACATCTGCTCTCGACGCCTCGGCAGACTTGAAGGTTCGGACCTGTCCATCCTTTGGCTACGCGTAGACAGCGACGAACATGCGCGCGTCTACGGGTGCCTCTATAGGTCCCATAGCGGTAATGCCGAAACAGACCGACTCTTCGACCACGTCCAAATGGCTACAGATTCGTTGCTACAGCAGATCCCCTCCGCAGATCGTGATCCTCGGCGACTTTAACGCCCATCACGCTGAATGGCTTGGTTCAAGTTTAACCGATCATGCGGGGAGATTTGTTCATGATTTTGCCTTGGCTTATGGTCTGACACAACTGGTTACTTCGCCTACGCGGATTCCAGATGTGGAGGATCATGCACCTTCCCTGTTGGACCTTCTGCTGGCCTCTCACCCGGACGGATATCAAATTTCCGTCGAAGCCCCTTTAGACTCCTCGGACCATTGTCTTGTCCGGAGTATGGTGCCACTCACACTGAAATCGCAGTTGCATTCTGCAGGCTGCCGCCGTATTTGAGACTATAGGTCAGCCGATTGGGATAGGATGCGGTCTTTCTTTGCATCCTACCCTTGGGGGCGGATTTGCTTCTCGCCGGACGATCCCAACGTTGTTGCGGATTCTGTCGCTGATGTGGTACTTCAGGGTATGGAACTTTTTATTCCTTCCTCTGTGGTGCCCATTGGAGGCAAATCTCAGCCATGGTTTGGTCGCTCCTGTAAAATAGCATCATGCTATAAGCAGGAGTGCTACCGATCCTGGGCTGACGCATCAGCGTCCCGGGATGTAAACACCAGCGCTATAAAAAAAGAAATATAATTCCGCCTCTAGGTCCTTCAAAAGAGTCATTGCCAAGGCAAAGTCAGAGCACATAGGAAGAATTGGCGAGAAACTAGTTCGCCATCCTTCTGGAACCCGTGCATTCTGGTCTCTCGCCAAGGCTGTCCAGGGGAATTTCTGTCAGCCATCTCTTCCATCTCTGCACAGGGAGGACGACTCACTGGCCCATACCGCAAACTGGGAGAAAGCCGATCTTCTAGGCTCTTTCTTTGCGTCCAACTCGACTCTCGATGACGGGGGGAGTACGCCGCCGACCATTGTTGCGCGGCAGTGTTGAAAAAGTATTGAAGGATTTTTAGAAAATATTTAATTTATTTGTTGAGTCGATTTATCTTTGTTTCGTTGATACTAGATTTTCCCCGCCGCAGAAAAAAGTCTCTCACTATACACAGAGCTGGCGGCGCAGCAAATGAATTATCATCGGGTAGGGATCGGCTGGGCCGATTAATCGGCATGCAATCGTATATATAAAAAAAAAAAAAAAAAAATATTGTTGCGCGCCTAAGTTAACCTGGTACTAGCGCCATCTATTTTTTTAAAGAAAATTAACAATGCTATAAACATTACTAATATTCCCCTTCACCACTCGTAGTAAGCTTAAATTGCTTGTGTTACGAGTGGTTCACGCCAGTTTTTCAGCAGAGTTCGCGGTCCGCGCCCTGCCATTAGGCTACTGTCGCTTATACGCTTATACTTCCCAGCTTAGTTCGCGATTAAGATTGAAACATCATGTAAATATGGAGTTCGACATCTATTTAAAATTATATTAGCCTCCAGGTATCTGCCAGAATACTTGAAAGAATTGATTGATCCCGTCATTAGACGCAATTGCTACTTCGCACATCCTGAGAGTTTTGCTACTTGCAATGATTACAGATGATTAAATGTACATTCGTGAATTAGCAGCCCAACGTTCCCTGCACCAAGGCTATTCCAGATGCCTCATATTAATTTCAGAGCAACAATCTACATTAATATGATAAATTGAAAACACACCTTTACCGAATCGCCGATCTTGAAATACCTACTTAAGTGATCAAGAAATTTAGAAAACAGTCCAAACTAGTGGTGAGGATAAACTTTTATATTTACGGCTCCCATGTCATACCCAAACTGTTGAGCGAGCTGTGAACGACAAAAATGGCCTTTTCTCAATGTAAGGATTCACTACGATGGGGGTCTATAAAAGCCAAATTGAAATCCCATAAGAAAATGCCAAAATTCGAGACGAAGAGAGATTTTCAGGCAAATTGACGATTTGATTTTTAAAATATATGATTGAATTTTGTTTCACTTTTTTATTAAATTACATTATAAGTATTTTAATTATATTATTGAGTTTCATTTATAATCTCTTGTTAACTCTTATTCATTATTTATCTTAGCCCAAACATACTTATCTTTTTCGACAAAACTTTAAACTTTACGGGCCCCTGCGGAGGCCGAAGATGTTATTCAATTGAGATTAAATTGACTTCAATCGTAAGGCACTAATCCCGCACTATGAGAATTTAAAATAAGAGAAAAAAAATTTTCATACAACGGCGCACAATAAAACACGAACATTTTTTTCACCTATGCCTGTTATAGACTTTGAAACCATTCTACCGATGTGCCCCAAACCGGTGTCATTAGAAAGGCAATATAGTGCGAAGATGGTTTTAGACCACTAAAACAATGCATTAGGTACTATATAAAAAATCCTTTTTTTTCACCAAGAACTAAACATAATATATTTCTTCTTAGCGTAGTAGCACACGCCAGGTATCCGCTTATCAAATATAAGAAACAGAAAACAATAACACAAGGAACGTGTAAATTTACCTGTCTTCTTAAATATGATCATAATCAATTTTCGGGAATTGCCACTTCAGCTAACAATGATAATATGACCGACCTAGCTGGAAATGGGCCGGTCATAAATCTCGAAGAATCGACAACCGATGGGGATTAAAGAGTCTTGATTGGCAGACTTGAACTAGAAAAAGTGACGAACAGATAATGCAGGCAGGTAGTCCATGGGAGGCCTATGTATTGCACATTGGACTTTTGATTTAATACAACCCATATTGATATCTATCGATATTAATACACAGAAAACGACATTTTACAAAACCGCCAGAATCGTCCCTTAGTTTCATAGTATATCTATACTTATAATAAATCTGTAGAGAGGTCATTCTCTTCATGAAAAATATTTCCAAAATAACTATCAGGGGGTGATTAGTGATCAATACTGATGCCAAAAATGCAAACAGTAAAATTTTTGTCTGTCTTTCTGTCTATCAGTCTGTCTGTATGTTCGTTATAGAAACAAAAACTACTCGACGGATTTTAACGAAACTTGACAATCATTCTTCATACTTCTGGGCAGGTTATAGTATACTTTTCATCACGTTACGATCAATAAGAGCAGAGAAGTGAAGGGAAATGGTGGGGAAACGGGAGAAATTACCCCATTTTTAAGCTTCCGTCGCGTGTGCAGCCTTAATGGTTAAAGCTACACAGAAATCATGATAACGGAAATGTTCTCCTTAAAATTATATAAAAAAAATATTCCACGACAGCATATGTCTATCTTTTATATGTTTCAAACTCTTATTAATCTTAATGAAAACGACGGTGTGATTGTTTATGTTCGGAATGAACTTGAGTCAACAGCCTATGAGCCCTGTCTCATCGACGGCAATTGTTTAGTAATTGACCTAAAAGATACTCTCTCTGTGATTTGTACATATCGTCCTCCATGTTATAAAAATCCTATGAATTATATCAACTCTCTGGATGATATTTTAAATAATTGTCGTAATAAACGTGATATTGTTTTAACCGGAGACATTAATCTTGATGTTATGCCAGATAATCTTAATAACTACTCAACTGCATATTTAAATCTTACGTTCGGACTTAAGCAAGGTGTAAACAGTCCAACTCGACAAAAAACCTGTTTGGATCATTTCATGGTTAAATCTTATGCTAAATGTCAAACATATGTTTTTGACGAATTTACAGATCATTCTCCTATTTTTTTACATATGAATTTTACTAAAGTATGTAGAAAAACACAAATGCTTAATAAAGTAAAAGTTGATCTTGCTGGCGTACAAAAAATGATGACGGCTGAGTCTTGGGATGACTTATACTCAACTAAAGATGTAAATCTTGCAGCACAGATTCTGACATCAAAATTAGAAAAAGCTATTAAGGACAACACAATTACTAGTAAAATATCTAAACGTAAAATACCACTCAAGCCTTGGATTACTGTGGGAATTGTTAATTCAATTCGAAAGAGAGATAAAATGCATAAAAAATTAAAAAAAGATTTAAATAATGAGCAATTGGGACACACATACCGAAACTATCGTAACACATTAAATAGATTAATAAAACAATTAAAAAGAAATTATTATAAAATGTTATTAGAAAAAAATAAAGGAAATATGAAAGAAACTTGGAATACAATAAAGGAATTATGTAATATGGAAAAAAGGAAAGAATCTTCCTCAGATTTACTCAAAAAAGGTTTAAATACTACTCACTCTCTTGACAAGGTTAACAGGTTTTTCGCAACTGTTGGTCATAGTCTTGCAAATGATATCTTATCCAAACTTAACACTACTGACAGTCCTTTTTCTCTATTGGCAAAATGTAAAGATGCACCAAATGGGTCAATGTCCGTCTACCTAACTGATTCAGTGGAAGTTTCAAGCGTCATCTGCAGTATTAAATCTAGTAACTCATCAGGATATGATTGTATTACGTCCAAAATTTTAAAAGACAACATAAAATATATTTCGGAACCTCTTGCATATTTAATTAATTTGACACTTGAATATGGTATTTTCCCCAAAATCTATAAAAATGCAATTGTCTGTCCCATATATAAATCTGGGGATAAATCTTCACCGACTAACTATCGCCCAATTTCACTTTTAAGCACAATGTCCAAGGTTCTCGAAAAAATATTTAACAAGCGATTAATGAACTATTTAGAAAAGAATGAGCTTTTAGATAAAAATCAATTTGGTTTTCGTGCCAACAGGTCCACAGATGACGCTGTCCTCCAACTTACTACAAATATTACACGTTATCTTGATAAAAATGAAAAAGTGATGGGAGTATTCCTGGACCTTCAGAAGGCATTCGATACCGTATCTGTTCCAATATTATTAACACGTTTGGAAAATATGGGAATCAGGGGAAATGCACTTATGTGGTTCCAGGACTACCTTTCGGATAGAAAGCAACGTGTTAAAGTTAATGGCTTATTAAGTAATGAATTCAGCTCCTCTTACGGTGTGCCACAAGGCAGTACACTCGGGCCAAGTCTTTTTTTAATTTACATAAACGATCTGTGTAAAACTAATCTCAAGGGTGCTGATATTCAAATGTTTGCCGATGATACAGTCATACTGTTTCATGGCGAGTCTTGGGAACATGTACATCGTCTAGCTGAAAACGGTCTTCGTACTATTACATCATGGTTAGAAAATAGCTTGCTAACACTGAACACAAGTAAAACAAAATATATGTGTTTCAGTAAAACTAATATGAACTCACCCAAATCTTTTAGTTTACAAATCCATTCTTACCCTTGCAATCGACAAGTCAATACCAATAATAAATCATGTGCTTGCTCATTAATTGAAAGAGTAAAAGTTATAAAATATCTAGGAATAACAATTGATGACAAGCTCAACTGGAAACAGCACATAACATCTGTTGCTAATAGACTCAGGAAATTAGTGTATGTGTTTAGAGAATTGCGCACTGTTTCAGAACCTACACTTTTAATAAAAATTTATAAAGCACTTGCGGAATGTTTACTTACATATTGTATATGTTCGTGGGGGGCAGCAGCAAAAACAAATTTAATAGAACTGGAACGAGCACAAAGATCTCTCCTCAAAGTAATATTATACCTTCCATTTAGGTATTCAACTACTGAACTATTCAAAACGGCAAACGTACTCTCTGTGCGTCAATTATATATCTATAATTGTATTAAAAATACCATAAACTCGCGGTACCGTATCTACCCTCCACTGGAAAAAGACGAGAACGTTTCACAGCTGAGCGTGTGAGATGTAAGATTGCTCGACAGCATTATCAATTTCAGGCACCAAGACTTTACAATTACTTTAGTGTAAATAATAAAGTGAGAAACCTGTCTATATATCAACTTAAATCCAAAGTTTTATTATGGTTGCGTAAGTTAACATACAATGAGACGGAAAATCTGTTAAAAATAATTCAATAGTACGAGTCATTTCCTATCAAGTATACTAAAAACACACATATACACACTCACCCGGGCACACGAACACACACACACACACACACACACACACACACACACACACACACACACACATACACACACACACACACACACCCCCACACACACACACAAACGCACACACATGCACAAACACATGTACACATACACACGCACACATGTACGGGCCATGGATGCAACACACATATTCATGCATATTTTTATTATTATTTTTTAATTTTTTTTTTCTTGGCTTTGTAAAAATTGTATTTATTTTTGTTACCTTGTTCTGAGTTGTGATAAGCTGATAAACCATTTTGTAATTGTAATTTAATGGAAATGGGAAGGAACTGGTTCCCGACACACAGCTATTGCTAGTTCAGGAGTCAGGGCTTCAACTTTGTAGTGTCAATATGGTTTTATTCAAAAAAATAAATTTATTATTATTATTATGTGGGGTATCTATATAGTTTTCTCATCTGGTTGGGATGTATAAATATATAATTATAAATGAAAATGAAAAGATAAACATACAAAAATATCAATAACATAAAATAAATATGAAAATACATAAATAAATAAAAGCCCAACCAGATGGAGGCCCTCGGCAGGGGAGACCAAACGGCCGAGGGTTAGGGGGAAAGGGAAAGAAACCGGCGGACGATGCGGGCGGTATCGAGGAGCACCGCCTTCTGCATTTGAGCCCGGAGCGGTCCGCCACGTAGTCCCAGCCGCCACAGATGACCCGAGAGGCTGACTGGGATTAGCCCGTTTGCAGAGACGACTACAGGAATAATTTCGGTCGGCAGACCACCCCACATGTCGGTCACCTCGTGAGCCAGGTCCAGATATTTTGTTTGCTTATCTGTTTCGGCTTTCACGAGGTTCTCGTCATACGGAATGGTAATGTCGACCAAAAATATCCTTGACTGTGCCCGGTCCATCAGCACAATATCAGGCTTATTCGCAAGAATAGTCCTGTCTGTGATGATGGCCCGGTCCCAATAGAGCCTGGCGCGATCATTTTCGAGCACGGCTTCCGGCAAGTACTTGTAATACGGCAATTTCCGATCCACGAAACCGTATTTCAGAGCGAGCTCCTGGTGAAGAATTCTGGCTACTAGGTTGTGCCTGTGCAAGTACTCATAGTTAGAAAGCGCCGAACAACCGGAGATGACATGCCTAAGTAACTCACCGGGATGGCGACAAGCTCGACAGATGTCCATGGTGCCATCCTTTAGGATGTATCTCCGATAGTTGTTGGTCTTAATAACCTGATCCTGTATTGCACAGACAAAACCCTCGGTTTCCCCGAAGAGATCACCAAAGCGTAGCCAGTGGAGGGAGGCTACTGTGTCTACGAAAGGCTCATGTAGAGACTTGTAGAACCTCCCGTGGAGCTCCTTCTCCTTCCATACGGTCTCCCGGTCGGAAATTGTCTGCACTGCTGGGTCTTGCCATTGCTCGTTGGCTAAGGATAGAGGGGTAAGTCCTTTATCACAAGAAATGACGTCCTTATAGAATGGATCATCCGATCTCGCCAGGAAGTAATTACGGAGGCTGCACACTTCGTGATTATGCATGGTGAGCGCGCTCAAGAAGCCACGCCCACCATGCTTTCGCGGCAAGTACAGCCTCATTACCGACGATCTCGGATGATGCATCCTGTGGGACGTCATGGTAGTGCGGACTTTTCTATCCAGGGCGTTAAGTTCAGTCTGAGTCCACCTGAGTATGCCAAAGGTATACATGAGGACAGGCATGACCCAGCCGTTATATGCGTGTGTCTTATTCACACCGGACAAAAGGCTGTTAAGCACTTTGGTCAAGCGTGCATAAAACACGTCGCAAACTGACTGTTTCATACCAGCCTCATCGATACCGATGTTCTGTGACATACCCAGGTATCGGTATGTTTCAGCCTCGGAAAGGGTCCTTAAGTTGACGGGCATAGATAAGTCTATGCCCTCAGAGTTAGCAACCCTACCCCTCTCAACATGGAGGACCGCACACTTATCCGTCCCCAGCTCCATTCCAATGGAACTGCTAAATTCACAAGTGATGTTTAGCAATTCCATAAGATGGGAGCGACTGGAGGCGAATAACTTGAGGTCATCCATATAGAAAAGGTGGGTCACTTTTGTACCTCCTTTCCGTAGCTGAAATCCCCTCCCGGAGCCCTCCAGTAAGGTACTGAGAGGGTTCAGTGAGAGGCAGAACCAGATTGGACTCAGACAATCGCCCTGGAAGATACCCCTTCTTATCCTTATGTGGTTCTCCGCAGCCATCATCCGCTCGCCCAGATGACAAAGGATCGTACTCCACTGCCCATACACTGCTCGAGGAAGTCTCCAACTGTATAGTCAACCTTGTACAGTTGGAGGACTCTCTTTAGCCATGTATGGGGCACCGAGTCGAATGCCTTTCTGTAGTCTATCCAGGCGGCGGAGAAGTTCCGACGGTTGCGTTTCACCACTTTGCCAATGACCGCGTCAATGAGGAGTGGTTCCTTGGTTCCACGACCACCGCCCCGGCATCCATTTTGAGCGCGCGACATCACCTGATTTGAGCTCCAGGTGACGAGTGATTCTCGCGCTCAAAATGGATGTTAGTGTCTTATATATGGTGGGTAGACACGTGATGGGGCGGTATTTGCTTGGGTCTGTGGTACCCTGGCCTTTAGGAACCAAATGAGTGATCCCAGTAGTGAAGAGGCTCGGGAGCGACTTCTGATCGAGAACCTCTTGAAACTGTCGGGCGAGCACAGCGTGACACACCACGAACCCCTTCAGCCAGTAGTGATGCAGCCCGTCGAGTCCCAGACTTTTCCAGTTCGGCGCCCTAGGGACCGCCTCAGCTACATCTTCCGGCGTTATGATGACGGGGTCCATAGGCGTAATACCCGCACACTGGCTCGCCACAACTTCCGTCCAAGGGCCCTCGTTGTGGTTTACGGGCTCTGACCACAGGCTACGCCAGAATGCGACAGTGTCGGCCTGATTCGGTCCTGGGCCCGTTCCACTTACCTCTGGTCGCTCCAATGATTTATAGAGCCTCTTCTGATCACTCTGGAAGAGACGATTCTGGTTGAACCGCGTCGACCTCTCGGTATATCGCCGAATTCGCTTTCCCCAAGCAGCGATTCTCTGCTTCAGGTCATCTATGCGCTCCGTCAGTTTTTGCATTATATCCGGCTGGGACAAACTAACATTTGTCCCAGCAAACGCCATCCTAACGGTGCGCACAATCCTCGGCCTCGTATTACCTGACCTGAAGCTTATCAGTCTGCCGATGAGGGCCCTAGCCTTTGCGATACGTTCTTCAATTCTTGTTCTCCAGGCTGGGATAGCACTACTTTGTCGAGTAGTACGTCCAGCCGCGGGAAGTTTGGCGCCAATAATACGGCAGACTGCCAGTGCGGCGCCAAAGAGAATTGAGTCCGTCTCGCAAAGGTCCCGGCTGGCTTCCAAATAGGTCACCAGCATTGGGTTAAGAGCCCTCACGACAGCCCGATTCCGCTTGCTTAGGGGTATGCGGGGGAAGTCGCGGTCGATTTTCGAGAGGCATACTGCGCGTTTCCATCATCGCCTCTTCCAATGTACTCCTCATTTGCTCTATTTCTAGTTCCTGGGTGAATATTCCATCATCATTTGAATCAGCAACCACTGGGGTATTGTCGGCGGCATCCACGTATGCAGGTTGTTGCGCAACTTGTGGCACCGCATTCCCTCAGCCGTAGCATTTCCATTCGATGAGGGAACAGCGTCACGTCGTAGCCGCTCGAGTTCGGCGCCACCAAATATGTTTGAGCGTAGGATGTACCGAACTCGGTCTGCCAGGTTTTGCTCGGTGACAGTAATAAGATGGCTCCAGCTCAGCAAAAAGACGATGCATCCTAGCCCGATACGCGAAACCTCCAATTTCTCCCCCTTTCGCCCTAAAATACGCCCGCAATGCGTTTGAATTCATATTGATGGTCCATCGCATGCGACGTACTCCACCAGCGGCGGGTGCCGCTTGCTGGGCCTGCGAAGACCCTGCCGACACCAAGCAATCTGGTGGGGATGATGGATGCGAGGGGCTGCTGGGTGGTCGTGCAGCACCTCGCGCTCGGCTGGCGGTTCGCATGCTGTCGCGTCCAGCGCCAGCTCCAGACGCGCCCTGACGACCTCCAGGCAGCGGCCCTTTGCGCACATCTTCTGTTCCATCATCCATACATGGGCGTCATTTAACGGGAGACGCCCAGGCCCGGCACCGTTTCATGGTTATTATTATTATTATTATTATTATTATTCTTCATACTTCTGGGCAGGTTATAGTATACTTTTCATCACGCTACGATCAATAAGAGCAGAGAAGTGAAGGGAAATGGTGGAGAAACGGGAGAAATTACTCCATTTTTAAGCTTCCGTCGCGTGTGCAGCCTTAATGATTAAAGCTACACAGAAATCATGATAACGGAAATGTTCTCCTTAAAATTATATAAAAAAAATATTCCACGACAGCATATGTCTATCTTTTATGGTTGACTCACAATAACACGTTTAACTCCCGATAGCTTAGCAGTTCGGAGCTTTCTGATTATATTTGTCTACTCTTACGTTTATAACACTCTCACTCATCCCTAATTAAAAAAAAAAGTTCACATTATTATCTATTTAATAAAAAATAATCATATAAATCGGTATAGAAACACCAAAGTTATACATGAAATACACTAATAAGCCATCGCGCGTGAATACTGAATCATGCTATAAGGATTATTTTTGTGTAACGGTCGCCGCGCTCGATGCGGCTCGCGGCGGGAGGTATAAAAAGGCGGGGTGTCCGAGTGCGAGCTTCCCCCACAACAAGCTTTCGGCTGACCTGAACTGCCTCCTGGCGGCTCAGGCCGAGCCTACATAACACATCCCTTAATCTGCCTTAGGCACTCTTCTAAGCGGCTTTTCGCCGCTTGCGCCCTTCTTTCTGCCAAGGAGGGTCGCGTTCGTATACGGCTTAGAGATCTCTAGTCAGATCGTTAAGCCAATTCCTAAAAGGTTGGATTCAGTGGGTAAAAGTCACTACATAAACACGCAGCCGGCTGCGTGGTATGCTATGAGCATTCCCAACCTCCCTCCCCCCGCTTTCCGGAGGGTTGCCCATATTATCTTCGGGCGCAAAAAAAAAAGTGCGATCTTCATACAATATTTGGCTGTTGATGCGAACAGACGTTCAGAGTGTTCGACTTTATTGACAGACAATAATTGATTTTAACAAACCGTGCTTATCAGCGCGACTTTTAGTCTACTCATTTAATAATATACGTTTAATAATATATTTTTAGATTTCTTTGGTTTTTATTTTATAAAATAGGTATTAGTTATTTTGGTAGTGTTTAAATATTTCTTAGTATTAGCTGAATTATAAATTAACCTTTTTTATTTTTATTTAGCTATGGTTTTAAATAGGTACCTAGGTATCAAATAGGTTATTTCATTCTATTAGACGTAGTTTAGGTACCTACTTATAAATGTATAAGAATTTAATTTTGGATTTAAGGATTTATTTAGGATCCGTTTTATTATTTAAGTAGGTATTTAGATTTTTTAAGTGTATGATAGCTTTAGTTAGGACCTCTAACTTAGAATATTTTGTTAGGTAACTGAATGCCGTCGATTAAAAATAAAATACACAATACCACCTAAAGAAACGATTACCTTTATCTCGAAATTTGAGAAAAGCTAAAAGAATGAGAAATGTGCGTTCTCAAGAATCGGCAGAGGAAAGAGTACATCGGTTAAACTCTATGAGAGTTAGTGCCTCAACTTTTCGAGCCAATGAAAGCTCTCCAGAAAGAGAGATGCGATTAGCAGCTGACATAGCGAGAATCTGAAACTTTTACTCAATATGAAGACCGTTTGACAAATGATAGGATGCACCATAATATTATTCGATCTCTTGAAGATGAACATGAGCATGAACAACGACTAGAGTCGGGACGCGAATATTACAATTCTTTGAGACAAGAACGATTAATAAGTTTGTCTAATGTAAGATTAATAATTGAAAATATTCGTTCTCTTGAAACGGACGAACAGCCAGAGGCCCGTCTTACTGCAGACAGATTTCAACATAGTCTTAATGACTTAGATGTACACATAGAAGATCAATCTACAAATTCGGTGGCGTGGTCCGACAAATATAAAAGTGGGTTTGCTTATAACCTTACAATTGATTACAGATCATCTTCTGTAATAGGCGATATGAACATAGTATGTTCTTTTTGTAATGCTTCAAAGTGGAGTAAGGAGTCGGCTGGTTTTTGTTATTCTGGAGGTAAAATAAATATGCCTTCGTTCAAAGATCCACCGGAACCTTTGAAGTCACTATTTTTAGGGGAACATGTGCAATCTAAACAGTTCTTAGACACTATTCACACTTATAATAGTGCATTTCAAATGACATCCTTTGGTGCTCAACAAATCTCAGAAGGTCCTTTCATGCCTACTTTTAAGATACAAGGTCAGGTTTACCATTTCATAGAATCCCTTTTGCCTGAAGACCAACCAAAGTTTCTTCAAATATATTTTGTATCCGACTACAACGAACAGTCGAATATAAGAAATCAATATTTCCCGAATTTAAATACTGAACTTATTTCACAACTTCAGAACATGTTGCATCAGGTTAATTCGTATATATGCAGTTTTAAATCGGCAATAGAAGCTCTTCCTCAAGATGGTGATAACAATTATAAAATTGTTATAAATGCCGATAGGCGTCCAACTCAGGAACACCCTGGGCGTTATAACGTTCCATCCACGAATGAAGTTGCTATAGTATTGGTCGACCAGGAATGTGGTAGGCGTGATATCGTTATCCGTTCCAGAGACAATCGTTTGCAACGTATTTATGAAACCCACAGGGCTTACGATAGTTTGCATTATCCTTTGATATACTCTCGAGGGGAAGATGGTTATAATTTCGCTTTATACCAAACGGAAATAACGTAATATAAAAAGATATCATGCCTTCAATTTTATTGTTACCACTTGCAAGTGAGACGGAATAGATTTGTATACTTTCAACGTTTTCGTTGCTTATTCAATCAGTTTATTGTTTACATGTACGCAAAAATTGAAACCGAAAGATTAGTTTATATAGGATCTAATCAAAGGCATTTGCGCGCTGAAGAATACGTGCACCTTCGCAACGCCATGCCGCAAGATAATGATCCGGTGAATATGGGTCATTTAGTTATTTTACCCTCTTCTTTTACTGGTGGTCCACGCTACATGCACGAACGTACTCTTACGATTTCTGTTACGTAAGAAAATATGGACGTCCCGACTTATTTATTACTGTAACTACCAATCCCAAGTGGGATGAAATCACTCGGGAGCTTATTGAGGGTCAAGCACCGCATGACCGCCGTGATATTATAGCAAGAGTTTTTCATTTAAAATTAAAATCAATGATAGATCTACTTACCAAAGATAACATTTTTGGAGATGTATTGTGTTATATGTATAGTGTTGAGCGGTAAAAACGCCGCTTACCTCACGCACATAACCTGCTTTGGTTAAAAGATAAGGTTCGACCTAATGATGTAGACAGTTCAATCTGTGCTAAAATTCCAGATCCGATTACAGATCCCGCATTATGCGACATTGTTAAAACTCATATGATACATGGTCCATGTGGTGCATTTAACGGGAATGCTCCTTGCATGCAAGACGGTCGTTGCACTAAAAGATATCCAAAAGCATTAGTGGATGAAACTGTAACAGAACATGATGGATACCCATTATATCGTCACCGTTCAAGAGACAATGGTGGTTTTACTGTTGAAAAGCGAGTATCTGGACAACAGGTTACTTTAGATAATACGTGGGTCATTCCGTATTCGCCTGAGTTGTCTAGAGCATTTCAAGCTCACATAAATCTATATAATTCTGTTTCTCACTTTCGTTCTATCTCTATTCTTCCTTTTTTATCAAAAGTACTTGAAGCTGTTGCTCACAGACAAATTTCTGACTACGTTTTTTAAAATAACTTTTTAAGTAGCTATCAATCAGGTTTCAGGCCAGGACATAGTACAACAACAGCCCTGCTTAAAGTTACGGAAGATTTACGTATAGGTATGGAGGAGTCAAAATTAACTGTGTTAGTTTTAATAGATTTCTCAAACGCTTTTAATGCTGTTGATCATGACATCCTTCTTACAATACTTTCTCACATTGGTTTCTCCTCATCAGCGCGGGAATGGTTCGCATCCTATCTTCAGGGACGTCAGCAGGCCGTTCGCGTGGGTCCAGTTATTTCTGACTGGTGCACGCTGGTTGCTGGCGTTCCTCAAGGCGGAATTCTCTCACCTCTTTTGTTTTCAATTTTTATAAACCTCATTACATCTCACATTCGCTGCACGTACCATCTCTATGCCGATGACTTACAAATATATGCTCAGTCTGATGTTAACGATATCGAAGATGCGATCACTGAG